ACATAGCGGGTTCCAGTAAATGTTCAACCAAGCCTCTCTTTTTACTCCTCACTAAGATATTAACAGTAGTGATGGAGAAACATCAAGAGTACTGTGCATATTGTATATTCAAAAAGTGGTGTAAATCAGATGTGGATATTTAAAAATTCCAAGGAACTTTTGGACAATTTGAAATCACAAGATTTCAGCAAAAACAACAGCTTAAAAACTTACGACTTTTCAACTTTATACACAACAATTCCCCACGATAATTAAAGTCCAGGTTTTTCGAAATAATTGACAGCTGCTTCTTCAATAAAAATGGAACTCGAAAATTTACTTACCTTGTAATAGGTCTTTGCAGAATTATTTTGTTAAAAAGGATTCTGATTATATACACAAGTACTCTGCGGTCGACATAAAAAGATGCTTGACTTTCTGATCGACAATATCTGTTGCTTTTGGAGACCAGGTCTTCCAACAAACTGTTGGAATTCCCAATGTTAACAATTTCTCTCCGGCATTATTAGACCTATTTTTGTATTCATTTGAAGCAAAATTTGTAATGTAGGAAATAAAAGCACTAGTTCTCTACTTTATTTTGATACATATGAAATGGGAAAGAGGGTGATATTTTATTAATAGCAGACCTATTTTTGTATTCCTATGAAGCTGAAATTGTGCAAAATCTTATGCGTGAAAAGAAGAAAAAACTTGTTGTGGCCTTCAACTCGACATTTAGACATATCGACGGCGTACTGTTAATTAACAATGGTAATTAAAAATGGTAATTTCCATTCTTATGTCGATATATATCCTAGTGACCTTGAGACAAAAGAAACCACAGAGTCTGACACATCTGTTCCATATTTGGGTATTTTACTTGAAAAAAGTGTCAATGGTAAACTAACAACCAAGCTCTATGATAAACGTGATGCTTTATCTTTTCTATTGTCACATTCCCTTACTTATGCAGCAATATACCTTCATCAACAGCATACAGAGTTTACATATCTCAGTTGATTAGATACGCAAGAGCATGCTTTGCGTATGAACAATTTTTACCACGAGGTAAATTATTGACAAATAAGCTGATGAAAGAAGAATTTCAGCATGCTCGTTTAAAGTCATCATTTCGTAAGTTCTACGGTCGATACAATGACCTTATCAGCAAATACAATTTATCAATGGGTGAAATGTTGACTGACGTTTTCCATACTAATTGTTAGTCCATTATTTACACAAATTGAAGACGGATTTTCCCGTTATTTCCCGATCATGACAAGAATCACAGGGCGGGTGTGAGCGGTCGGCAGGGGATGCTTACTCCTCAATGGCAGCTGATACCACCTCTGATGTTTCGGAGGTCTGTGTTTGCTCTGCTCCTATTTTGTATTGTTTTATGGACTTTGAGATTGAATACTGTTCGTTATCTACATTTCTTTCACAAAGATATAAACAGTAGTGAAGGAAAAACTTCAAGAGTGCTGTTCAACAATATATTTGAGAAAATTGATGTAAATTAGATGTGGAAACAACAAAATTGCAAGGAACTTTTGGAACATTTGACATCAGAATATTCAACCAAAATCAAAAACATCAAAAATTACAACTTTTCATCTTCATATAAAATTATTTCCCTCGATAAAGTCCAGGCTTTTTGACATCACTGACAGCTGGGGTTTTTTTTCCAATAAAAACGGAACTCGTAAATTTACTTTCCGTGTCATTGGCCATTTGCAAAAGTACACATAAGTACTCTAAAGTTCATATAAAGAAAGATGTGGTTTTTGGAGACCGGGTCTTTCAACAATCTATTGGAATTGATGGGTAACAATTACGCACCGTTCTTAACAGACCTATTTTTGCATTCATATGAGTAAAATTCTTTTAAAATCTTTACTTGAATTGAAAACAATTTCTGTGGTCTTCAACTCGATATTTTTAGATATAAGGATGACGCATTGTCAATTTAATTTCCGCAAAATATCGTACACGCCAAATGAAACATATGGAGATAACGAACATTATTCTATATCAAAATTCCATAAAACAATACAAAATAGGAGCAGAGCAAACACGGACCACAAAAAAATCAGAGATGGGATCAGGTGCCACGGTGAAGTAAGCAACCCTTGCCGACCGGTCACACCCGCCCTGTGCTCCTTGACATGATCGGGAAAATAATGGGAAAATCCGTCGTCAATTTAGTGCATAGATAATGGACTAACAATTAGTATGAAAATGTTAATCAGCATTTGACTCAATGACAAATTGTATTTGCTGATAAGGCCATTGTACCGACCATAGAACTTATAAAATGATGACTTTGAACGAGACAGCTGAAATTCTTGTTTCATCAACTTGTTTGTCAATAATTTACATCGTTTTTGAATACGTTTACAGTTATCTGTATAAACCAAGGTACCAATGCATATTTTCAAATAAAGGTTTTCCTTTCACAGGACACATGAGATGCGTGCCAATGGAGGCCTGCAGAGCGAAATGGTGATAAACAGTGTATTGGAACATACCTATCCTGAAAGCTTATCATCCTGTTTGTCGCAGCCAATGAAATATCTCTTTTACATGTTATACACCAAGATAAATTTAAACACATCTTTTCCAAGATCCAATTTAAATGTCGGGAGTGCTACCAGTGAACATTCATCAAAATTGCAAACAAAACCAAAACGTCAGATTAATGAAAGTTCACATCACAAAAGGCTTCACTAAATAGTAATGTTTGAGTTCATACTTCATTGTTCTAAGTAAACGGGATTCTATTTGTTTTAATATAAAAAGGAGGCGTAGATTATCTTTCAATACATAATTAAAAAAACTTTTTAAAAATATTAAAAAGTTTTTAAAAAAATATAAGTAAGAAAATAACGAAAAATTGCTGTGATCTTGATTGTTCTGAATAAAAAGTAACAAATTATGATGCTTTGTGTAAGGATTAGAACACCGTATTTTATACGAGGCTAACTCCATAAGCCGGTACGATGTTCAAGTAAACAAATATACATTACACAATATCATTTTCCCCCTTCTTCATGATGAAAAAAATATTTTTTCCATTATATCTTAATATAGATATTTTTGGTGGCACCCCATTGCAAGCTTTTTAAAAGCTTTAAACTTGCTGAATAATACCCTATAAAAGACAAGTGGCTTATTAACTGAAGCTGGTAAGCCTATCTCTGATTTCTGTAGTTCATCGATTTTTCTCTGAATATCTGCTTATGTCATTGAATGATGAATAAATTACATGATAATCAGATTGTATAATCTGCAACAAAGGTATGAGACATCATGTTTTATAAAGATTTGTATTGATTTATAACGTGTTAAATCACTTCTCCCATGGATATTACGCATTGGATGTTTTTTTGTATATCGCCCTTACTTATGTGTTTTGTTTGCTACAGACCTGCAGCAAGTCTGATGAAAGTTTTCAGCAAATAAAATTACTCGCAGGAAGTACATTACCTTGTTCGCAGATGATTGCCGCTACACAAATGTAGCTGCGATCATGCGGCAATCATTGCAGCAATTGCTGCAAATAATAGCAGCAAATTCGCAGGAATTCATCATGTTTGAAGGAACTTGGCAAGAAAATGCACCCCAATTTGTTGGTCACATCAGGTTTTGAAGAAACATTTCACAAATTGAATGTTTGCTGGAAGTTTTCAAAAAAGTAAACGAGTCAAATCAGCCGATGAAATGCAGATTGTAGTTGGATCATAGCAGGAAACAAAACAGTTTGGTAAGGGACTGTTTCATCGTCATGATAGTTTTTGTGTGAAAGTGATGAAGTAATATATATATATAACACAGTCGAAAGGCATGTCGGTATTGTATCAAACATGAGATAAAATCTCTCTCATGCTTTATGCTTGGACATGCTTTTTAACTGTTTTTTTTTAAATTGCGGGTTGTGTTTTTAGGGATAAAAAATTTGGTTGGATGCTTCTAGTGCCATAAATTATCCAAAAACATGTCGAAAACCGCAAAAATTTGCCTTTTCTGACTACTTCGGGATTGGCCGGAAGTGACGTTATTTAACGACTTTCGACAATTCAGGCTTCATTCCCGAGTGACATCGAAGTCACAAGGCAAGAAAAACTTTGAAAAACTCAAACTAAACCAATTTTTTCTACATCTTTTGATTAAAGAGAGAAAGTTTAATTTTTCGTCAACTTCCATTATACACCGGAAGTTGCTCAAATGGATGCGTTTTGTTGACGAATGTAAAAGTGAAGATAAGTTCTTTTTACCTTTATTCAAAACGGTTGAATTTTTAAAATAATGTTGAAATAAAACATCACTTCCTGTGTCGACAGGAAGTGACGGATGCAAAATATAAAGAGTCATGCATAACTCAAAGAGATGTTTTATCATCCCTGAAAAATACTGCGATTCAATCTTGAGTGGTTTACAAGAAGATGCGTGGACAAAATGACAATTTAAAAAAAGAAAATCGGTCGAAAGATGTGACCGGAAATGATTTCTCAAAAAATAAAAAAAAAAAAACAATCTAGAGATATTACAACAATGCATCATTCCTGAAAAAATCTTTGAAATCGGTTCAGTAGTTTCTGAGAAATCATGTGTAATATGAAAAGGGAATAATAATAATAATAGGAAACATAAGAAAAACAGCAAGGTCTTCTGAAGGAAGTCGAAAGACCTTAATTACGATTGGAACCATAGCAACTATATAAGGAAAAAGACAATACCTGAAGATGACAATAATGCAAGTTAATACTGACTCTTAAAAGAGACTGAAAAGTACAAGACGTCTTACAAAATACATTCATTACCTTCACCTTTTTGTACTTATATTTGAATCAATAGTATCAAACATGAGTTAATTAATTTTTTCCAATTAAGTGGCTTTTAAAAATAAACTTTTGCTTGAATTTGTTTTGCACTTAACCATTTACGGGTGTTAAATCACTCTTTAAATCAATCCCACTACACGCTGATGCCCTCGCTGTCGTTCTGGTTAGTCTTTATCATGGAGTCACGCAGTCTCTTGTTTTATTATGTCTTAGTTCTTGCATTGTGGGATTAACAATGGTAAACGGAGCGTAATGCTGGTTCCTGTCCATCATAGTTTCCTCATATTTAGAGGCGTCACACATGTACCGTAATAAGAAAAGCTGAAAACGACACTCCGAAAAACGCAGCACGTAAAAAATCGGATCCAGAATTGTAGACACTGTAAAAAGAATCCCGGTACTCATGTTCATATAGTTAGCTATTTTTAGATTGGATACATAAGGCTTTATCAACGTCCAAGTCATGCCTGGGGCGTAAAGTCCTAGAAAGGATCCAGTTATTACCGCAATCTTTCTAAAAGTTTTCTGACCTGTTGCCTGAGAGGTTAAGTCTTTCTTGTGGTCGGCTTGGTCCATGGGCTGGATTTTGCATACTTTTCTCTTAATCCCATAGATAATGTAACCAAACAAGATGAAGTTAGAGGTATAAATGGCAAAATACCCGTACTGAGAAATTCTGGTGCACAAGGTGTAGTTAAGGGAACTACAGAAATCAGACCATACGAGAGTACAAAACTGAAAGCTAGTTATCAGAGGACCAAAGACCCACGACAAAATGCACGCAGACTTGACTTTGGTTGGAGAGAGATAGCTGTAGTACTGCATGGCAAACTTTATAGCCAAGAAGCGATCAACGTTAAACAAGGTTATAAAGACCAGTGAAGACTGACCAAACAAGACAAGGAAAAAATATTTAACGCGATTTGTTCCAAAAATTAATTCGAACACTCTTCTGTCAATACACAGGGTGAGACAGGAGCCACAGTCCGCTAGGCAGAGATTTAGGGCGAGGATCCGGATCTGGAAGGGAAGTTTCCTGCTCCGCATTAACACAGCCAGCGCAATGATGTTTATAACAAGAGCCGGAAATGACACAATCAGGTGAAGTAGATCGTTTTTCGCCATCCTTCTTCAGCTGTTATGTCCTGTTATAGAACTCGCTAATGAATTAACCGTATATCCATTCCATTTTCTCCTGTAATAGATAAGCTTTCGATTTGTCGACTTTCTCTCTAGGTCTATAAGACATTGTGCAGCCTGACCGGGCGTGGTTTCTTTTATTCAGTGGAAGAACCTCTCGTGTCTATGGGTGTTTACAAAGAATAGGATATCTGATTTATTGACTGATAATCCTTCTTATAAAACTAAAATAATTAGAGATTAGTGTATAAATTACACTGTTATAAACCATGTTTTGCGGCTTAGCATTATAACTCTTCAAATTGTAGGACAGATACAAGTAAAAAGTATAAAACACCTGTACTATATGATGCGCTTGTGTCTTTGTGTGTTGCGCTTTTTTCATTATGTGATCAGTTAAATATTATTATGTCATTTGCTTTTTATCATTATGTTTAGTGCTCGTGATGTACATTTGTCAATATGTGACATGGCTTATGTCATCATGTGGTTTGCATTTTGTCATTATAAGGTGACGTTTTGGTCATTGTTTTGATTATTTGATATGTATAATTCAGTAGACCATGTACTTTTAATAGTCATTAGCATCGTGTTTAAAAGTCTTTATGTGTGATGCAATCGTCCTCACGTAATGAGCAATACGAAACGTTGACGTCATTCTTTTTCTTTTACATGTACGGAAGCAAATTGAAAGTGGTTGGCGGGGCTAATTAAAAGGGGGGCTAAAGCAATAAAAAAAAGATTAGGCCCCAATTTCAATGCCTTTATTATGCTTTTCTTTGCAAAAAAGAAAGTGTTGGCTAACCCCCTCCCCCCCCCCCCCCCCCCCCCGGTTCCGACGCCTATACACATCAATAGTTTACAAAATGGCGCCGTAGTTGTAACTCCTCTTTAACATGATATGCTCGCAAATTTTAAGGCTTAGACAGCGAATAAGATTATACATGGCATCGAAACTCAGATAATTTGTTTAATCGAAAGTCAAAAGTAGTACATGTAATTAGTATTGGGGTACCAATGTTGAAATAACGAGATAAAAAAATACGCACAAAAACAAGTCTTGGGGAAGATTTTTGCACATTTCTTCGTAAACGGTAACAGTCTTTCTTCATAAGGTATATTTAGGGAAACTGCATTGATACCCCTAACAAAAACACTTAAGTTACCTATAGTTTACTATAGTTAACTATAACGATAACCTTAATAATTTTTTGAAAACTTTGATTTTCTATACGTGATAACTTTGACACTATGTTTTACTATAGTTTCAACTTTGACACTTTGATTTACTGATAATTATGAAAACTTTAATTTACCATAGGGGTCACTATGAAAACTTTGATTCACTGTAGTTATAACTTTGAAAACTTTGATTAACTATAGTGATAACTATGACACTATAGTGATTACTTTGAAAACTTTGATTTACTATAGTGATAACTCTGACGTCTTGATTTACTGTAGTTAACTATTGTTCACTATTGTTAACTATGGGTTTTTTTTGTAAGGGACACTTTAGTTTTATACAGAATAGGTTTTGTTCAATACGATGGTGAGCCACATAAAAGACCGAAAATCAAAATATATCATATAAAGGAAATTCTTTCACGGATGCCTATGATAACGTACATAACGGGACAAAAACCGTACTAATTATCCATCCATAAAGTGAAACATCATATGTAACTTCTGATAGAAGTTACCATTCTTTAAGTCTTACTTTACCTCAATACAAATTTTATTTGAAATGTTTTTTTTTCAAGAAAGTGACGTGGGAAGATTTTTTGAGTATTTTTAAAAAGTATCAATGATATCAGTTAAAACAATCCACAAACCAATACAATAATTTGAAGAGGGCATAAAACATGGACCTCATGGAAATTTCAGTTATGGGATCAGGTGCCTAGGAGGAGTAAGCATCCCCTGTTAATTGGTCACACCCGCTGTGATCTCTATGTATTGGTCAACAACTTGAAGACAAATTTAGTACAAAAGCAAACGTTTGACCATTTGTATGAAACAAATCAGCCAAAAATACGACCCAGTGATGTTTAAAGTTGCTAATAAGGTCATTTTAACAACCATTTAAGGACTTACGAAATACCAATTATAAACGAGTTGGTTGAAATCCTCTGAAATTTTATAAGTAAGTTGAAATGTAAGTGACATGATTCGCATTTAATTGTTCTCAGAGCAAGCGCTTGAGTAGCGAATAAACTCTTGTGAAAGGTAGATATTAATGCATAAATTATAAGGAAAAAATGAAGATGGAAAACCTGAAGTCATCTCATTTTTCATACAATTTAGTTGTTAAGTGATCATCAGGAAAACATTTAAATGTGAAAAAGGTCAAGGCGACTGTAAGGTTTCTTTTATTTAAGTTTACTAGAATATATCGACCCGACATAGGAATTAGAAAATATTTAGTAAATTAAAAGCTCAAAGATCATTAAACAATGCAAATCAGAAAAAGAGCAAACACGGACCTCTGAAATTGGTGGAATCAGGTGCCATGGAGGCGTGAGCATCCCCTGTTGACCGGTCACACCCGCCGTGTGCTCCTTATCATGATCGGAAAATAGCGGGGAAATCCGTCGACAATTCAGTTTGTCAATAATGGGCTATCAATAAGTATGAAAATCGAAAGTAAGCATTTCTTTAAATGATAGATTATTTTTGCTGACAAATCATTGTATCGACCATAGGACGTACGAAATGATGGATTTAAACGAGATTGTTGATTGTCTTGCATCATCAACTTAATGTTCAATAACCTACCTCGTTAAAAAAAATGTTCATACGCTTAGTATGCTCCTCCGTATCGAATCAACCGAGAAATAAAAACCCTAAATGCAGCTGATTTTGGAATATGTTTCATATGCTTCATACCGTTCACGGTAGCTCAGTCGGTAGAGACTGACCTAAGTCGATAAAAAATGGGTAGCAACTGTTCCTTCGCCATGCGCTCGGCACTTTGAAGTGAAAGTTGCGGGTCCTTCGGATGAGACCTTAAAAACCGAGGCCCCGTGTCAACGGCAGGCGCTGGCACGATAAAGATCCCTCACTGCTCAATGGCCCTGAGTGATGAGTAAAGATTAAAATTTGAAGCCCTTCACCGGCATACGGTGACGTCTCCATATGAGTGAAAAATTCTCGAGAGGGACGTTAAACAATATACAATCAATCAATCATATGCTTCATAGGTTGAGGAAGTTGACGATTGAAAAGTTAAAGTCATCACATTTATGATAAAAGCTATGTTGTTTATTTACCATTAACGTCTTTTTCCAGTAAAATTTCCGAACATAAAACAGATGTGTCACACTCTGTGGTATCTTTAATTTCAGGCTCATCGGGATATATTGGTTCGACATAAGAATGGAAATAGCAATTGTTCATTGACATTACGTCGCCGATATATCTAAATGTCGAGTCGAACGCAACAGCAAGTGTTTTATTCTTTTCACGCATAGAACTTTGAACAAATTCTACAAAATAAGTCTGCTAATAATAAGGCGTAATTGGCACCATGGGAATTCCAATAGATATAATTTGTTGGAAGACCTGGTCGCAAAAAAAAAACACATTGATATTGTCAATCAGAAACTAAAACATCTTTTTAAATGAAACATATGGAGATATTGAACAGTATTCAAGATCAAATCCATAAAACAAAACAAAATAGGAGCAGAGCAAACACGGACCTTTGAACCATCAAAGGTGGGATCAGGTGCTATGGAGGAGGGAGCATCCCCTGTCGACCGGTCACACCTGCCGTGTGCTCCTTGTCATGATCGGAAATCAACGGAAAAAATCCGTTGTCAATTCAGTGTATAAATAATTAACTAACAATAAGTATGAAAAATGTAAGTTAGCATTTCACTCAATGACAAATTGTATTTGCTGACGAGGTCATTGTATCGACCATAGAACTTACAAAATGATGACTTTAAACGAGACTGTTGAAATTCTAGTTCATCAACTTGTTTGTCAATAATTTAGCTCGTTTTAAAAATTGTTCATACGTAGAGTATGCTCTTGCGTATCGAATCAACTGAGATATATAAACTCCGTATGCAGGTGATGAATGTATATTGCTGCATAAGTATGGGAAGTTGACGATAGAAAAGTTAAAATCATCATGTTTATCATAGAGCTTGGTTGTTAGATAACCATTAACGTCGTTTTCAAGTAAAATATCCAAATAAGAAACAGATGTGTCAGATTCTCTGGTATTTTATATCTCAAAATTACCAGGATATATTGTATCGATATAAGAATGGAAATTCCCATTGTTAATTGACAATACGTCGCAGATATATCATAATGTCGAGTTGAGGGCCACAGCGAGTGTTTTCTTCTTTCAAGCATCAGATTTTGCACAAATCTGCTTCATATGAATACAAAAATAGGTCTACTAATAACGGTGCATCAATCGACACCCTAATTACATGAATTCGGTCTGAGATCATCATTCCTAGTATGTCTTTGTAAGTCTACTCGACATTGCACGAACAATTTGACAGGGGAAAAATAATTACATAGCAAGACACTCGAGGAACTTTAACTTGACCTAGAAGAAAAATGAAGCTAGCAGCTAAAATCTGCATTTTTGATCATGCACAGGATCAAAGACTGCATCATTTCCCAAAAAGCAGCTTCTGCCTTATCACGATCACATCTTTTCTTACGTCATTTTATTAATAAAAACTCTCCTATAAATATCATCAATATGTACAAACATGAATTACAGAACAAATTAACATCCTTTCTTATATTGCACATAATCGGCCTGTGATATCCAACATGAATAACTAAAGACAGTGTCTCTAGAACTCTAGTGACGTCATGAATATGATCAAAACAAATAAACAAACATTGTAAATCGTAAGCAAACACTGTAGGGCTGGGTAGTTTTACTGATATTCTGGTGTTTTAATGCGGTCCGATGTCAAAATTTGCGCATTGCGATATGCTTTTGTTTCACCGATATACCGGGATAACCCGTGGACTCAGGATTTCTATACATTTTACAAAAAAAATATAAAGATTCTTAAAAAAATATTTGCGATTGTGCCAAATAGTTAGCTAAAAGCTATTGTCTGTGTGCATTTTGATGCTCAACCTTAATTTATTCAACAATTATTTATTTTAGATATTTATATAGACCATTTTAATTTTAATGAAAACACATATCACAATTTAGAGTTTTAAAAATATTGCCGTGTATCGCAATACAAAATTTTGAGCCTGTACCCAGCCTTAAGCATCAGTTATGTTAGTTATAAAACACATTTCTCACTTATAACTCCTATTCTTTCCCTAATAAAATAAATCATTCTTAATCCTTTGTTTTCTTAAAACATATCATGTTGTCACCTGTTATACACTGATACATAAAATTGCGCAGATGAAAAATAAGAAAATCAATCAAACAAAAAAGGAAAATGAAACTAAACGCGTCATGACTGCATGGGCAAGTCAATGTTTTAAATACCACTATGTAATCCTTTTGGCACGATTTTGGCGCTGGTATACACAGTACACAACACCAGTTTAACACCTTACATAACCTCCTCCCAGACACGGGGGCTGACACGCACCTTAACACCCTGTCTTACTGTTGTCTCCAAGGAGAAAATTTCACAGGTCCTTTGGGCTTTAAGGAATCTATTCTTTCAAGTCCACTCTGGTTTCTGAAATAAAGATTTTCATTGTTTAGGGTTCAAAAGGGTTACCTACACGGCATACAGGTAAAACTGATAAGATAGTTTTCAATAGCCCGAAGTTAACAAGTAATTTCCCGTCGGCCGCCATATTGGATGTCAACATGCTCATATTCGATTCCTTCTATTCAAGTAAATTTACTTTTCATAATGGCAGTTGTGTGGCAGGAAGCATTGTTTTTCTATACACTAATTTAAAACTACATTAGTTAGAGCCTCCTATATTTCATGATTTTTATTCCATAAAATTTCTCTCCAAATATTTCTGATACAACCTTTTAAATCTGTTAAGACAAATTACTCGGTTGACCACCATAATGGCGGTCAAGAGAAATAACTCTGACTTAAAGAAAATATGTCATATGAAAACCATCTATTGGTAAAAGTTCGAACTCCCTTCAAATAAACAAGCACTAATATCAGAAAATTGTCTACAATGCACTTATAGATCAAATAACACTATAGAATTTTATTCAATCCAAAATCATCCTGTAATTTAATCAGTTATGTCCGGCCTGTAATTTAATCAGTTATGTCCGGTCCTCTGTAGATTGTTACCTGAGTACTGTGAGCTGTAGGTTAGTTCCACTCTGTCGGATCATGTTCTGTGCCTGCGCATGCGTAAGTTGCCTTGTATCGTAGTTATTGATACCCAGCACGGAGTCGCCCGCAGAGAGACGACCGGCACACGGACTGTTGGGTTGTACCTAAAGTAGAAGTGTTAAAACAGATATGACTATACAAAAAGAGAAACGAATGACAATGGTTTTAATAAACCCCCCCCCCCCCCAAAAAAAAATTGTTTGTGAAACACTATGCGCCCAGCGGCAACAAAATTCTTTTAAAAAGCTATTTTTAGCATATATGTCTCAGTCAAGGTCATTGAAATTGGTGTCATTTGAAAGAAATTGATTAGTCAAGTATGGATACCAAATATGAAGTCTCTATCTCTTTTGGTTCGAAAGTTATGGCAAAGGTACGAAAAATCTATTTTTAGCATAAAATTCACAGTCAAGGTCACAAGGTCATTGACCTTGGTGTCATTTGAAAGAAATTAATTAGAGGAGTTTGCATACTAAACATGCTGTCTCTATCTTCTATGGTTCGAAAGTTATGGCAAAAGTACGAAAAAAATATTTTTAGCATACAGGTCACAGTCAAGTTCACAAGGTCATTGACCTTGGTGTCATATGAAAGAGCTTAATTGGTGGAGTACGCATTTTGAATAGGAAGTCTCTATCTTTCATGGTTTAAAAGTCATGGCGAAGGTTAAAGTTTGCAGATAAAAGCTATTTTTAGTATATAGGACACAGTCAAGGTCACAAGGCCATTGACCTTGGTGTCATTTGAAAGAGCTTGATTAGTGGAGTATGCATACTAAATATTAAGTCTCTTTCCTTCATGGTTCAAAAGTTATGGCGAATGTTGAAGTTTGCAGGCAAACAAACAAACAAACAAACAGACAAACAGACAGACAGACAGACATGACAAAAACAATATACACCCCGGATCTATCAATCCAGGCGCATAAAATCATGATCATTCCAAAGGTAACAATAATATTATCAAGGAATCATGCAGTGACTATTTTTTGTATGACTGGGGTGATTACACAATTCACTTATTAATAAGCGCATTACTGTCCTTTATTATGAACTTATTATAAATATATTGTTAGCTTAAAGATACTGTGTAATCCTATTTATATTATGTGTCAATCTTGGTACATTTATAAAATAAAAGAATATGGCAAAAATAAAGATTAGACGTGTTGTTTTTATCGCTATAGTCAACTGTGGAATCTATTTTGATTCCTGTCAATTTATCTAAACAAGAACATTTTAGTATATTTAACTGATATGTATAGCATCTCTCCCTGTGTCTGATCCTGACAAGAAGCACACGGCACCGGTCGACAGGGGCTGCTTAAGCCTCCATGGCACCTGATCCCACATCAGATCATTTAAGGGGTCCGTGTTTGCTCTGCATCTTGGTTGAATTATTTCAGTAGACGTCTGAACTTCATTATACTTTTTAGTTATCTTCATATTCCACTTTAGTCCATTGACAGAAAATTTCTATTTGATTTTTGTTTTAGTATTCTACGTGGTATTTCAAGCGTTGCAACATTCGATCTTTTTAATTTGCATTGTATATTTTTTTCATTTGTATTAAATTATTTTATTTGTATCATATAATTATTCATTTGTAGAGTATAGTATAGCTGTTATTTGAATAATTTTGTGGACTTGTTTATGTTGGTGAAACCAAGGGATCACTTAATAAAAGAATATCAGGTTATCGATTTCAAATAAGTCATGGGGGTCAGCAGCTTTTATACAAAATTTTAATTCACCCGATCATTCTATTTTGTCTATGATAGTTAGAATTCTCGAAGAGATTTATCACCACACAAATAGCTCTTCACCTTTATGTAAACAACGAGAAGAACTTTGAATCAGAAAACTAAGGACAGCCTTTTCCTATGGATGTAATGACAATGTTGATAGTATTGGAAATCTTTCCAGTCCACAGTGTAACAATGTAAATATGATGGGACTTTTTAACCACACACAGATACGTAAACTAATTCATGGGCATCGGTCTTACAATAGACCTATAGAAAACGATGTCTCTTTTGATTCCTTACTACCTTATGTAAATCAACAGTTAGGTCTACATCATATTCGCACCAAACTTTACTCTGTTCCTTTGAAACTTTTAAATAATCTTCTTGAAAAGGTCAATTAGGTCAATTGATCACTAAAGGAATTGACGCGGTTAATATAAGTAATATTCTTTATCACAAAAGGGTCCAGTCTTGTATTCCACCATATTTCAAGTTAAAGACTACACCTTGTATTTCCTACAAATAAACATCGACCATTGCTTCCAAACTTTTTAATTACAAAACAACTTTACATGGCCTGGATATCGAGTATCTGAAACATAATCCTCCATCGTGTTCATGTTCTTCTTCACCCTATTAATGAGGACCTTAGATTCCTTATTTTAAAAGGTCCTAAATATAGGGAACCCTGATCCTTCAACTGGCGTAAGAATTTCATAAATATAAAGGATTCTGTTGAAGATTACGCTAGGCGATGGGCCAGAAATGAAAAAGAAGAGGAAAACACTTTGTCAAAATGGATTAAATGTATCAGATCCGTTAAAATCGGGTACAAAACGATTGAGGGACAATATGAAAACCATCTATCTTTCTGTGTTCAATAATCCAGAAGTGAAAAAGAATTAGATGGATTATATGATCAGTACGTACTGCTCTCTACTGATAAAGCAGGTAACAACATTGTTTTTGTTTGTAAGGTTCATTATATAAATTGTATTTTAGAACTTGAATTTAATTCTACAAGTGGTATTCCCCAACTTATACTGATCGATAGTTCCCCTTCTAAGGAAGAAATTCTTCAAATACACATGTCAGTTTTGAATATTTTTAATATCCCAAAGAACCAAATGATTTTGAACTAATATATATATATATATATATATATATATATATATATATATATATATATATATATATATATATATATATATATATATATATATATATATATATATTAATATATATTACGAATACTAAAATTGGTACTCGGTTACTCGGATGTATATTTTAGAATATTTCTAAGCTTATTTATTAATGCGTTAAAATATCGGTTTTAAATGTAAAATGTTCATTGCACTTGTACATACAGTAAATAGGGTTTCCTGAACCTCTAAATGACCGTTATCGCCTGTGGCAGCGTTTATACAGTAATTACCGTGACCAAGCACCTGCTACCTACATGGCTTTGGTACGCATCAAAAGAGATCAAATTTTTCTGAGCATGAAATTAATCTGCCTTGATTTTGTATCAAATGAAAAAATCTGATCTCACCTTTGGCTGTCTTCTACCCTTATGTTTAGTTTGCTCTAATTATCTGTTTTCATTGAACATCGTTAAAGATCTAATTAGCTTATTTTGTCAATTCTTGGGGAAAGAGACAGACGATATTGCACGTGCGATTGTTGATATGGATGCGTTTGATTACGTGCCAATTAATGCAAATGGTTGAATGCAAATGTTTTAAAAATCTTTAAAATCTTATGTCCATCGTTGCACCAAACTACAACATACCGTCTCGTAATTTTATTGAAATCAATGATCGACAAGTGTACGAAGATCATAAATCCGCTCTGTTAGAACATGATCAAGTTCATACTGTACATGTAGCTCTGACGACTTATCACTTGGACGACAAACGCATTGATAGAGTTACATTACAATTAGGGAACATATAATTTTTTAAAACAAAACCACTGTGAGCCCTTTATGATTTTATTTCTCGTATTTATCTGATAAATACTAGTAAATTGGACTTTAAAGAAAGTGTTAGATTAAATTTTGTCGGGCACAAAGTGGTCATAATTGTTACAACACATTTACGGGTAAACCTCCCACCGGACCATGCGGTTTTATTTCAATGTTTTACAGTTACCAATTAACTTGTTCATATTCATTTGATTTTTACCGAGTACCCGGGTACTCGATCGGAAAAACGTCCGAGTAACCGAGTATCAAAAATTGGCCGATTTGACATCCCTAATATATATATATATATATATATATATATATATATATATATATATATATATATATATATATATATATATATATATATATATATATATATATATATATATATATTATATATTGGATTCCGAAACTTCATAAAAATCCTTACAAACAGATACATAGCGGGTTCCAGTAAATGTTCAACCAAGCCTCTTTCTTTACTCCTCACTAAGATATAAATAGTTGCTGTAGTAAAGGAGAAACTTCAAGAGCATTGTGCAACAATACATTCAAGAGGTGGTGTAAATCAGATGTGGATACATAAAAATTCCAAGGAACTTTTGGATCATTTGAAATCAAAAGATTTTACCAAAATCAATAGCTTAAAAACTTTCGACTTTTCAACTTTATACACAACCATTCCCCACGATAAATAAGAATCCAGGCTTTTTGATATCATTGACAGCTGCTTTTTTAATAAAAATGGAACTCGTAAATTTACTTACCTTGTCATTGGTGATTTGCAAAATCATTTTGTTAAAAACATTCTAATTGTACACACAAGTACTCTAAAGTTGACATCAAAGGGATTTCTGATTGATAATATCTATATTGTTTTTGGAGACCAGGTCTTCCAGCAATCTATTGGAATTCCGATCGGTACCAATTGCACCCCGTTATTAGCAGACCTGTTTTGTATTCACTTGAAGCAGAGTTTGTGCAAAATCTTATGCGTGAAAAGCAGGAAACACTTGTTCTAGATATATTGACGACGTATTGTCAATTAATATTCCCATCCTTATGTCGATACGATATATCATGGTGACCTTGAGATGAAAGATACCACAGAGTCTGACACATCTTTTTCATATTTGGATATTTCACTTGAAAAATACGTTAATGGTAATCTAACAACCAAGCTCTATGATAAACGTAATGACTTTAACTTTTCTATCGTCAACTTCCTTTGCTAATGCAGCAATACACCTTCATCACCTGCATACGGAGTGTACATATCTCAGTTGATTCAATACGCAAGAGCATGCTCTACGTATGAACAATTTCTAAAACGAAGTAAATTACTGACAAAAAGTTGATGAAACAAGAATATCAACAGTCTCGTTTAA